GCACGCAATATATCAATATAATATGTTGTTGCTTCGTTCTTAAGGAACGACGCAATATATCGATATATTATGTTGCTTTGTTCCTAAGAAAGCACGCCATATATCAATATAATATGTTGTTGCTTCGTTCTTAAGAAACCACGCAATATATCAATATATTATATTCCCTTGCGGTCACCTCATGAATGACTTCAGTACACAGTTTATTAGGCCCGTTCAGGGGCGTAACTCGTGGGGGGTGACACCCCCCTCCCCAATATTTACAAATGAAATTTTGTCGGGCAACTTGTTCAAAGCACGTGCTATTTGTTGGGCAAGGTTACCTTGCTTTACTGTAAGTAAACAACGAAAAAACCGTATCGCAGAATTTGAAGATTGACCGACGACCGAGTTTTGTTAAATTCTAAAGTATAGTAATTAGTCTTCAGTAACATTATCGATTTATCGTATACAAACTGGCAAGCAGGAAAGCAAATAACTCTATAAATTTCTATTTGGCATTTTTGTTTGTGCTAATGTCTCCGCTTGCCTAATTAGTTCTATAAAAACAATAATTCGTTATTTGTTTTGCAACATGATAGATACATCGAATTTAAATGACTGTATTGACATCCATACCTTTGACGATGATGTTATAGTAATAGTGCATATTCATAATACTACATTAGCAAATACTTGTGTAGGACTACTGTCCACGCCCCTTTTTGTCGGGCAAAACTTGATTTTATTGGGCAAATATTGTTGACGCCCCCCAAATGATGATACCCAAGTTACGCCCCTGGCCCCGCTTACATGAGACCGGGACGAAGTCAAACCGGAATGAAAATTGAAATTGTCAACATGTTTACATGAGACCGGTACGAAAATCACAAAATTTTCAACTTATTCCCCTTGACAGGAAATTTTCTTTTTCAGATGGCTTTTTTTAGCATATGTTGTTCCAATGTCAAGGTTACAGCCGGGACCGGTCTGAAATGTATTTGTGTTTACATTCATCCCAATCTGAATTCATGCCGATCTGAAGTCAGTGGGTTCGGTCCAGCAGGCGGAATGACTTGAGACCGGTCTGAGTTATTTTTGTCCCGGTCTCATGTAAACATCTATTATAAATTATACCAAGAGGATTTACCCTGCAAGCACGCAAAATTTTACCGTCGGTTTTTTCCTACAGAGGCGCGGCTTGCGAGTTGAGAACAACAACAAATTTTCTCACTAACTTTTGCAAGTAACATTCAAAATGCTACAAAGGCATCCCAAAACAATTACGTGCATGAGTGTCAATCAGATAGAAACACTCCATATGCTTTATATAAAAGCATATTTATATTTACCAAATGTATTTGCAATTGCTATGCGCATTTTATAATAATGAGAGGGATTGTCCTCATTAATGATAACAAGCCCCTGTTAAGGAGATTATTCGTCGACTCAGCAGGTACATTTTTTTCTGAGCCACAATGGGCAATTTAGTGTCACTCATCACAACAGGCGATTCAATATCACTCACCACAACAGGCAGTTTAGTATCACTCACCACAATTGGCGGTCCTGCTGTTTGCCTTGGCAGGCAAATCAATATTTTGCTCAGATTGACAACAAATATCGAAAGTGAACAGCGAACTCATTCTCCAAACACAATACAATAACAAGTTTAAAGTTTTGGTAGGTCTCTCACGGACAAATACACGAAACTTTGTGGCAAATGAATCAAATGATAAGCCCGATTATTCATCGCTTTTATTAATACATTTTGTCGCCTTATAATAAAATACTATATTTTAATGTCGTTGGTGACCATTGACTGAGGCCTGTTTCGAACGTCGCGCTTCTCATGTGCCAATCGTATTTATAGAAACAAGCGAGGCCTAAAAGGTTTTTATGGGCTGTTAAAGAGCCCCAGTAAACTATTAAAGGCACGTACACCGCTTACCTCTAGTAACACTTAACATCAAAACAGTCATTGGGTCTCATTGCCTTGATTAATGTTCACTCGGGTAAAAATTGCCATAATTTGTAGATTGCTTCAGCGTCAGGTTGTGTATTTTTTTAAAAGTATAGGAAAGAAAGACATGTGCATCATCCTGTCACTGCTTCCTGTGCGCCCGGCAAGCATAATTAATTTTCGTAACCCCCCTGAATTGCTGACAAACAAACACAAAAAATCGAGATTCAAGCTGGTCTACTAAACTCGGCGCGCGGAGACTGGTACCGTCGAGAATAGTGTGCTGCCTCGCTGAGGCTCGGCAGCAACTATGACCGAAACGAAATGATCCCGGTTTGACTTCTATTCGTAAACTGGGCCTTAGTTTTGCAGGTAGGCTCGATCAGTAATCACCAATCAGGTAAAGGCTAGTTTCAACTCAGGAAAATTATCCGTGGATTGGAACGCACAAGAAAATTTTTCTTTGTGTTGTGAGCTCTGGGTTGGAACTAATGACTTCAACACAAAGAGAAATTTTCTTGCCCGTTCCAATCCTTGGATAATTTTCCGGTGTGGAAAGTAGCCTTAAATTAACTCGATAAGTAATGACATTACTTATCGAGTTACACTACAGTTGTAATTAAGAGAACATCGGTATCTTCTCTTCGAATCTTGCCACGAGAAATATTTGCGTATATAAGTTTGAAATACCGGCCGCTTTAACGCGATGAACAAAAGACATGCATGTATCGACATTCAATTTATTCAGGCTTTAGTCCCGTTCAGATACAACCAATATTAAACAAGCGAGTATCTTGCATAAGCATGCAAATTCAAAAGCGGAAACCCGTAGGAATCAAAAATTTTGCTTATGCTTACGCATCGATAATGATATTATTTTATAAAATAACATGTGTATAACGCGTGCTCTGATTGGTCGAAACCCGTGTTTGGATCAGGCCATCCAAACACGGAAATTTAAAGTGAAAGTTTTTTTAATGTGAAAATTTAACGCGTAAAGTTGTTATTTTATAAAACAGTTACTTATATGAATTTTTTCTGTGTTGGTGTAGTGTACTCAGGTGAATATGATATTTGTGGTGTTACTCTGAGTGTATATCCACACCGAGCGTGACCGCGTAGCTCAGTTGGGCTAGCATTGGGCTAGTATTCCAAAGGTCGTAGGTTCGAATCCCATCGTGGCCGGGCATATTTTTCAAGCTCGCCCGGTGTGGATATACACTCAGAGTAACACCACAAATATCATATTCACCTGAGTACACTACACCAACACAGAAAAAAATTCACATTTAATAGAATACATTGGTATCGAAGGAACTAGATTCTGTTCCGAAATATCACTTACTCGAACCGTCCTGACCGCGTAGCTCAGTTGGAAGAGCATAGGGCTAGTATTCCAAAGGTCGTGGGTTCGAATCCCACCGTGGCCGGGCATATTTTCAAGCTCGCCCGGTGTGGATATACACTCAGAGTAACATCGCAAACATATTATTCACCTGAGTACACTACACCAACACAGAAAAATTCGAAGTACTACACGGGTAAAAATTGATCAGGTTGTTCGGCGTTGTTCAAACAGGAGTGAACAATGTTGTGCTGCACCCCGTGAACAATATTGTTAACAAGTTGTTCAACCATCAGTACTGTTGCAAGTTGTTAACATGATTGTCAACA